GGTAGCTGGTGAAAAGGGGACATCATTCAGTTTCCTCCCACCCACTAGTCCCCTTAGCTCTTGTACAGGAGATTCCCTCCTTTAGCTTTGGAGAGGCACGATCCCCAGGCCATCAGGACTGAGCACTTGTTGGTTCTGACTTTTCGTGTAGAGGTTGTGGGCAAACACTGGCAGGGATAGATAGGCTCAAAAACACTGGGAAAGTTGGGTGAAAAGGGGACATCATTCAGTTTCCTCCCACCCACTAGTCCCCTTAGCTCTTGTACAGGAGATTCCCTCCTTTAGCTTTGGAGAGGCACGATCCCCAGGCCATCAGGACTGAGCACTTGTTGGTTCTGACTTTTCGTGTAGAGGTTGTGGGCAAACACTGGCAGGGATAGATAGGCTCAAAAACACTGGGAAAGTTGCAACAAATTAGATCCTAACGGGCTATTTGTAAATGCAGGAATTTCAGATGCATTTGGATTATTGTGGAAACCTTAAAATCCTGAGCTTCCAGTGTCCCTTTTGCAGATTTGAGGAAGAGGATTCCCATGTTGCTTTGTCTCCTTTCCTTTATAGTTTAGGAAGTAAACTGAAGGTCAGAGTCAGCCCCATCAAAGGCTTCTAATGATTTCAATAGGGGTCCCACTGATTGAGAGGACATCTCTCTGCTTGGGAAAGTGTCTCCAGACTATGCACATCATATAGACTATTCTCTGGTTGTGCTGATCCTGGCTCCATTGAAATTAATTGCATGACTTCCCTCTGAATCAGTGGGTAAATTCAACCCCTTTGTTAACAGTTGGGCAGGATCTGATGCAAAAGACACTGAAGTAACAAGAGATAAGCCATAATGACAAATTTCAGTGAAAGCAGAATTGGGCCCTTAATTTATTGTGAACCATAGCAACATTAGAAAGATAATATATGGGAATGTAGCGTTGTGATATTACAATGTTTTGAAAAATTGTTACTTTGTGTTATAACCTCTTAGTTGCATATTTGTGATTACATACACAGAGTCCCAGAGACATAAATCATAATTTAAATTTGAGAAATATTTTCTTTATATGTTCACAAATGCACAACTCCCCCATATGTAGTTATGCATGAATGTGAAGGTATGTTGGCATTTAGGTCAGTCAAAACAGTTTGAAAAGTCACAATTTGTGTTATGTTTGGTAACTCGCAAGTCACTCGGTAGTGGTCAGTTTCCTGGTTATGATTTTCATAATATTCAGCAGCAAAGCATGTTTTGTGCTGCAACATGAGATGTAACATTTGCAACTGGAAATGTGCATTTTCATTCATTAAATAATTTAAAATGTCATTTTTGGCATATATTGGAGCATTTAGTCTTAAAATTCATTTTGCACCAGAGTTCTTTTAAGTAAAGCTAATTTGATAGAATACTTCTGAATAATATTAACAGAGTAAAAGAAAGTAAATTCAGCATTTGCAGAATGAAATAGTATTTTCCCAGCTCCAATATATATGTATATTTATGAAAAATTACACTGTGTGTTTATAGGAATTTCCAGGCAGGAAATATCTATCCTATGGAAATTTATATTTCCTCCTATTTCAAATAATTACTCTAATTTCAGAGTATCAGTTCTATGTGTATTTAATAGGGGTACAGATGGCTTAAATGCTCACCAAATGGAAATAACTGTATAAATATTTTGAAATTTATATTTCTTCCTGGTGGCTTGAATGTATTTTTTAAGGTAGAGCAACATTTCAAAGGCCCCTTTTTCTGCTGCCCCTTCATATCTTTATTTTCTAATTTGTCTCTATTTCAGGAGAATGTTTCCTACTATTAGGGTTTCCTTTTCGGGAGTAGATCCTGAGGCCAAGTACATAGTGCTAATGGATATCGTTCCAGTGGACAATAAGAGATATAGATACGCTTACCACAGATCCTCCTGGTTGGTAGCTGGAAAAGCTGACCCTCCACTCCCTGCAAGGTTTGTTCATTTTATAGCTCATCTCTTTTAAAAAATGTTGAAAAAGGGATTTCAAATGGTCTTTCAAAGCTGTTTGCAAACTGTGCTCTAAAAGCCTAAGTCTGTGCCCGCTGGAACGGATGGCAAAGCTCCCATTAATTTCAGTGCTGCACTATCAGGTCTTGTATCCATACATGAGCCAAATTTTTGACTTGCAATAAATTCCAAAGGCAAGCTGGACTTGGCCTGAGGATGAGTTACAGAAACGTGGTTCTGACGATCAAAAGAGAAGGAAACTTTTAAAAATACATTTATTTTCCTCTTATTATGACATATTTCCTTTTGGCCTCCTTTTTAAAGCAAGCCAGGCCCCTTGTGCTGTATGCCAGTAGAAATATTAAATTACAGGTTTGATACTACTTAAAGTAGAAATGCCAGATTATTTTCTAACCAATGACCAATATTCCTAACTGATGAGTTTACTACTATATTGTACTCTATCTCTTACATCACCTACTATGCATGTATCAAATACACACACTTGCAAGTCATTTTTTAAAGGAAATTTAGGATTTCTGAAACCTCAGAATAAGAAAGTTAAACAAGTTAACCCCCTTTCCACAATGGACAAACCAGACAATTCACTCCTAAAATGATTGCCTTTACTGCAAAGGCTATGACCTGGTTATGAACTCATTGTGAAACGTGTGCAGGCAGGTACCAAAGCTTCAGTCTAGAGCTATCTAGACTTCAGTATGTAGGTCCCAATATATCAAAGTATATAAGCATGTGCTTAACTCTGGCCCTATTCAGCACAGCACATAAGCACATACTTAAGTCCCATCAATTTTAACAGGACTTAAGCGGATGCCTAGGTGATTTTCTGATTTGGAGCGTTTAGCTGCCATCACATTTTGGGCTGCAACTCAGACCAGTAAGAGGTCGTATAATTGATTATCTTGTAATCCTGAGTGTCTTAAAATGTGCTGCTTCCTGTTTGGACATCCTCAGCCAGCAAAGAAGTATGCACGAATACAGGCAGCCCCCAACTTGCAACATGATTGGTTCCTGGGGAAGCATTGCAAGTCGGGGGCATCATAACTTGAACCGTCATTTATGATAGGTGTCATGTGCCGTTGTAAATGCGGGCTGAGGACGTAAGTCGGGGATTTTCAGCCCCTTCCGCAGTTACAAAAATTGTTGTAAGTGTTGGGGGTTGGAACTCGAGTGGCTGCATGTCGGGGGTTTCCTGTAACTGTTTGTTAGAAGCAGCTCTGGTTCAGCAATACTGACCCAGTAACCTGCTTGTTACACCACAGCCACTTTCAGATCTCCACCAGTCTTGGTTACCTCTGAGGCTTTATTTATACTAAACAGAACATTGCTGCTGCCATGATCGAGCTTCCGGAGTTCGATTTAGTGAGTCTAGTTAAGACTTGCTAAATCAAACTCAGAGGGCACCCCTTCCAGCAGTCAGTACTTCTGGTTTTATGAGGAGCAAGGGAAGCCCATGGGAACATTTGCTCTCTTCTGCCTCCTGCTGTAGGGATGCTGCCAAGGCTCAAAGCAGCTGCAGGGACCATGTGCTGCTCTGAATACTGGGAGCCTGGGGGATGGTGGGAGAGGTACTTTGAGCACTGCCTGACCTGCAAACAGGCAGCTCCCACTCACTGGTTTCTGCTGCTCTGAGTGGTATGTGGGCAAAAGGCAGGCAAGGAGCTTGGCTGAGGCTCCCGCTGGGCTGCAGGCCAGATCCAGTGGTTTGTCAGGCCAAATCTGGCCCACAGGCCGTATTTTGCCGCCCCTGAGCTGGACTGTCTTAAACATACTCTAGTAACATTAGACAGAGGGAATTAATGACCAGTATGTTGTTATTTTCAAATGATACCCTACAAGGTATATTTTGTATATACAAAATTGCAGCTACATGTAGGGTTTGCATACAGGGTGCTTAGGGTCACTTCCCCAATCCCACACTGAAAACCATGCCGATGGACTTCTGTGTCCGGAAGTAACATCTCTGAAGTTAATGGGCTTCTGCATGGCAATTGGAACCCACCTGCGGAGTTCTTGGATGCTCTATAGAAAGGCACATTAGAAACCACCTAAGATAGGTAGAAAAAATGGAAGCATTTTCTTATGTGCAAATATGGTTCCAAATCCTACTTGCTTTGCAAGTAGTCCTACAGAACTCATGAAGTCTCACTGCTGATCTCTGGTAGGGCAGAGCGGGTTTGGTATCAGTGAAAAAATGACTATGCGCAGCTCACAAAGGTGTGTCAGATTCAGCCAGTTAGAAGTTGTGTTTGTTTTCAGGGAAAACAGTAATTTACTTACTATTGTTATTTAATTTGTATGTGATAGCAGGATCCCATTGTGTTAGGTGCTATAAAATCATAGGCCAAAAATATGATTCCTGCCCTCAAAATAACATCAATTATAATAATTAAGAAAAGTACACAAATGGCCTTAGGACAGGGTTCTTGGGTTCTTATTTGTCTGTGAAGCATCCAGTGTATTTTAAATCCCTTGAGGTATGCTAATAATTTATGTGTATTTTGTAGGTAGCTAATATATAGTATCAATACAAAAATCAGAATAATATATCATATGAATGTGAAGAGCCTAATCATGTGCCAATTGAACTCATACTGACTTTTTAGAACCACAGTCAAGCCCTGTATGATTTTAAATCATGTGCCAATTGAACTCATACTGACTTTTTAGAACCAGAGTCAAGCCCTGTATGATTTTATTATTTAAAGTTTGTATTGTGGTAGCGTGTAGAGGTCCCAATCTGTACAAACATGGTAAATGCAGAGGTGAAAGTAAGTAGGTGTGCTCCAGTGCTGAGCTCTGGCAAGAGCTGGCTGAGCTGTGGCAAAAGCCAGCAGGGTGCTATTTAAAGAGCTGTCGGGGACCCCAGTTGCAATAGGACAGTACCTGTAAAACATTTTAAGAAATGTTAAGAAATTCACTGCTGGGTAAATGACAATCCTTTCTTCATTTTCACCATGTTTATTAAGAAATTCACTGCTGGGTAAATGACAATCCTTTCTTCATTTTCACCGTGTTTAGGCAAAAAAAAAAAATTGTAAACCATAGCTACAGGTTGTTCTTTTATCCCTTTTATTAATATTATAATTTCAATTTTACAAGTATTATTATAATGTTCAGTTTTGTTTCTTATTGAAAAAATACCATCTTTCTTGTGGGAGAGGAAAGATAACAGCTGTAAGGATGCCAAAATTTGGGGAGCTCGGTGTTTTTGGGGAGCTTGATGTTATCAGCCGTTGATAGTTTTTTAGTGTAAATGCTAATTTTTTTTCAAATAAGGTATTTTAAAATGTATTGCTGCAAGTAAATAATTGATAATTGTTGTTCTTTTAAAGTGTTTATCAGTCTTTATCTTTTTGATTTCATGGACCGTTCTCTTTGCTGTCTTAACCCTGAATAATCTGACTCCAGTGTTATAAGATAAAAATGGCTGATTCCCCTGGATAACTTTTGAGATGCTATCGGGTTTTGCAGAATTCTGTAGGATTTCTTGGTAACTGTATGCAAACTTTACACAACAATTTGTAGTTATGTAATGGGAATTCCCTCACCTTGTGTAGGTTTGTCATAAATCTCAGCTACTGGAACCACAGGCAAACAAATAACCCATTATTTTTTTTAAAAAAAATTGTGTGTCCAGTGCACATGATATACAATTATTTTTAAAACCAAGATTTCAGTACTGTATTTCTGCCAAATTAGGACCTGGTCCTGCTCAAATTGAAATTGAAGGTACAACTCCTATTGACAATCTGGAGTTCAGTTCTGCTCCCAGTATCAGGAGTCATGGTTATGTTTTCATCTAATTATTTCTAAGATCCTAAGCCTACAAACACACCTGGGTTTTAACTTTAGTAATATGAGACATATAATTGGGCTACTCCATGTGCTTAAGTGTTTGCAGGATCAGACAGAACCTATGGCATTAAGATGTTGATCCCTCAAAGATATATGTACACGCATAACTTTACCAGCATGAATAGTCTCAGTTGATGTCAATGAGATTATTCACGGGAGTAGAGTTATGCACCTGTGTGAGTCACTTCAGGACTAGGGCCTTAAGGCTTTTCTTTATTTTACTATAAAAATAACTTTCAACCCTGAAACAACAACTGTGCTTGAAATTACTAAGTACTATATGATGCCACTTAGAAGATTATGCCTGCATGGATTTTCACTACAAATAACAATTATATCCTTTTTTTCCTGCTGTCAACATTTAAATCAAGTTTATGTTATTACAACCTCTTGAATAAAAAAAAACATTTTCAGAAAATCCTTGTAAAACCTTTAAAATGCTTCCAGGTCCAGGATAGAATTCCTGAATAGTTTTCTTTCTTTCTTTCTTTCTTTCTTTCTTTCTTTCTTTCTTTCTTTCTTTCTTTCTTTCTTTCTTTCTTTCTTTCTTTCTTTCTTTCTTTCTTTCTTCAAAGAATGTTTGAAAGAAGTCTTAAAGTTTTTGCATGTACCTTTATACTGTACCCTCCCTCTTTCCTCTCTGTTTGTATTAATAAATGTTTTTTCTAGTTGTCTTGGCTAGTCTAACTAACCCATAATGGTCTGGAGATTGAATTTGTAATATATATGCCTTTGTAGCAGATAATAGCAAAGAAACTTTTAAAATTACATTTTCAACTTGCAATTTGAGCGTTATTCTGCCAACTTTCTGTCTGTACAAAGTACAAGTTAAATCAATTGAAAGTCACATGCATTGTGGGCTTCCAGCATCAGGCCCCATATTAACAAACTGAACAAAAGGAAAATGTAATGAAAGCTAAATACGCTAAAAGGAACCTAAAGTAGTCCATTTAAACTGTTAGTACTATTGCAAGTAACTTAAAATAACATACAATAAATAATACAAATGTGTAAAGAGAAAATTACCTTGGGACTCACCCGTGAATTAAAATTCAAAAAAGTGTTTGAGATCTATGGTGCCACAGCCACAATCTCTGACGATAAATCCCCATGGTCAACAATGCACATTAATATGTACAAGCAACCATGGGCAGAGGACGGGGGATGAGCTCTCTCCATGGCTTTCCCATCAGAGTCAATGTTAGTATCTTGATTTTAGTAAACCTTTTGATATGGTCTCACATGGCTTTTCCATAAACAAACTAGGGAAATACAACCTGGGAAGAATTGCTCTAAATTGGGTGAAAAACTGATAGTATAATGATCCCAGAAAGTAGTTATCGATGGTTCATATCATACTGGAAGGATATAACAAGTGGGGTCCTGAAGGGATCATTTCTGGGTCTTGTTTCTGGTCTTCATCAATGATTTAGATAATGGCATAGAGAGTAAATACACTTATAAAGATTGCAGATGATACCAAACTGGGAGAGGCTGCAAATGCTTTGAAAGGTAGGATGAAAATTCAAAATGATCTGGACCAACTGGAGAAATGGTCTAAGTAAACAAAATTAAATTTAATAAGGACAAAGCACTCCACTTAGGGTGTGTCTAGACTACCTAGTTTTGTCGACAAAAGTGGACTTTTGTCGACAAAACTATACCAGCGTCTACACTACCGCTGAGTTCTGTCGACATAACGTCGACAGAACTCAGCAGTTTTGTCAACGCTGGTAAACCTCATTTTATGAGGCATAACACCTTCTGTCGACAGAACTCTGTCGACAGAAGGTGTTATTGCCTGTAACATTGCGTCCAGACTACGGAGTTCTGTCGACAAAGCAGCTTGCTTTGTCGACAGAACTCAATGTGTCTGGACGCTCTTTGTCGATGGAAGTTTTGTCGACAGTATCTGTCGACAAAACTTCCGTCGACAAAACGCGGTAGTCTAGACGTACCCTTAGAGAGGAACAATCAGTTTCACACATACAGAATGGGAAATGACTGCCTAGGAAGTAATTCTGCAGAAAGGGACCTAAAGGCCATAGTGGACTACAAGCCAACTATGAGTCAACAGTGTAACACTCTCTTGCAAAAAAAAAAAAAAAAAAAAGTGTCCGTTCTGGGATGTATCAACAGGAGTGTCATAAGCAAGAGATGACAAGTAATTCTTCTGATGCACTCTGTGCTGATTATGCCTCTACTGGCACCACATTTTAGGAAAGATGTGGACAAATTAGAAATAATCTAGAAATGAGCAAAACAAATTATTAAAGGTCTAGAGACCATTACCTATGAGCAGGGCTCGACGATCACGGCAAAAACCACTCACCAGCCCCGCACCATGCATGCGCGGACCAGAGGTGAACGGGGCGACCGGCTGAAATCTGCTCACCACAGGCAAGTAGATAAGCGTATTTGTCAAGCCCTGCCTATGAGGAAAGATTGAAAAAATAGGGTTTGTTTAATCTGCATAAGAGAATACCAGAGGGGACATGATAACCATTTTCAAGTACATAAAAAGGATGTTACAAGCAGGAGGGAGAAAAGAAGTTCTTCTTAATCTCTGGAGATAGGATAAGCAAAAAATTTAGATTTCAGCAAGGGAGGTTTAGGTTGGCCATAAGGAAAAGCTTCGTAACTGTCAGAGTGGTAAAGCACTGGAATAAATTGTTTAGGGAGGTTGTAGAATCTCCATCATTGATGATTAAGAGCAAGTTAGACAAATACTTGTCAGGAATGATCTAGATCTGGGGTGAGCAATAATTTTTGATGGAGGGGCACTCCAAGAATTTGGGAAGTGGTCAAGGGCCATACTCTTCCATATTAATGGAGGAGGTGAGGGGTTTGGGATGGAGGTTCAATGCAAAAGGGAGCTTGCAGTAAGGGATTGGGGGTGCAGGAGAGGATGTGGGGATCTGGGAGGGAGTTTGGGTGAAGGAGGCAGTTGTGACCTGGGTTAGGAGACTAGGGAGCTGGGGTTTGGGTTGTAACTTTGGGCAAGAAGGGATTGTGAACTGGGGCAGGGAACTGGGATGCAGGATCTGGGAGGAGATATGGGGGCAGGGAGGGGGCAGAGGGTTTGGGTTATATTGGGTAGGAGGAGCTAAGGGTTGGGGTGACAGAAGCAGGCTCTGGCTGGTAGACTTTACCTGCTTGACTCCCAGTCAGCAGCCTTCTCAAGCAAACTTCCTTCCTGCCTCGCCCCTGTACTGGCCTGCAGGGGCCATGTGGTTTTTGAACAGCTATGAGTGTGAGGAGAGGGAGGGAGGGATGGATGAAGGAAAGGTGCTTTGCAAACTGCCTGTTGACAACAGGCAGCTCCCATTGGCTGGTTTCTGGCCAATGGGATTGTACTGGGGGTCAGAGCAATGTCGATCGCCTCCCACCCCTCCCTGGGGCTCAAACTGAGCCCCCCAACAGCCACTTTTCTCAGCAATGTGTGGGGGGCAGGCAGGGAATCTGCAAACCCATTGCAGAGTCAAACCCGTTGCGTCCGTGGGCTGCATCTAGTGGCTTTGTGGGCCAGATTTGGCCCGCAGAGGGTATTTTGCCCAGACCTGATCTAGATGATACTTAGTCCTGCCATGAATTCAGGGGACTCGACTAAATGATCTCTCAAGGTCTCTTCCAGTCTAAAGATTCTAGTCAATGAATGTATAGCCCCTTCCCCCCATTGTTGTGGTGAGAGTTAGCAGTTGGCATTTGGTTTAAGGTAACTGTGCACAGGAGATAAACACAAAATGGTCCCTATCCCAGGACCACTGATGGAGGGATGGGAGGTGGCGAAGGGGCCAGTTGCACCCAGTGATTCAAAGGGGCCCAGGGCTCCTGGCCGCCGCTGCTGATACTGTGACAACGGCAATGGCTGGGCGCTCCGGGAACCTTTGAACTTCCACCAGAGTGCCACTCCACATTGCTTTGAGTGCCACGGTCTGGGCAGTGCTAAGGGGTAACTGTCCTCGGCCCTGCCCCATCTAGGGGTGCAAAGCCGGGCCCCTTTCACACCTTGCCCCAAGGCCCATAATGGCTGTTGGACCTGCTGCTCTACCCAGTCTCCAAACATACACCTGAAACAGTTTAGCTCTTTGGTCCTAGATAGTCATATCTTGGTAAGACTGAGTCTCTGTGATAATGGTGATCTAGTGCAGGTGAAAGTAATTACCAAGCTTAATATTAATAATAAGAAAAAATACAGCTCCTCTGGATTCTCTGACTAGTTCTCTAACTGCAGTATGCCTTTTTCTTTGAGCTGGAGTCATTGTTATTTTGAGCGCTTATTAATACAGCTGCCAGAAGACATAATTAATTTTTCATTTGGAAGAAATACATCAAAGTGAAATAATGACTCCATTTTAAATTATTTTTATTTGTTACTTAGATTACCTCGAGAGGTCATCGAGTCCAGCCCTCTGCCCTCAAGGCAGGACCAAGCTCTGTCTACACCATCCCTGACAGATGTCTATCTAACCTGTTCTTAAATATCTCCAGAGAGGGAGATTCCACCACCTCCCTTGGCAATTTATTCCAATATTTGACCACCCTGACAGTTAGGAATTTTTTCCTAATGTCCAATCTAAACCTCCCCTGCTGCACTTTAAGCCCATTACTCCTTGTCCTGTCCTCAGTAACCAAGAGGAACAAATTTTCTCCTTCCTCCTTGTGACACCCTTTTAGATATTTGAAAACCGCTATCATGTCCCCCCTTAATCTTCTTTTTTCCAAACTAAACAAGCCCAGTTCATCAATCCTGGCTTTATAGGTCATGTTCTCTAGGCCTTTAATCATTCTTGTCGCTCTTCTCTGTCCCCTTTCCAATTTCTCCACATCTTTCTTGAAATGTGGTGCCCAGAACTGGACACAGTACTCCAGCTGAGGCCTAACTAGTGCAGAGTAGAGCGGCAGAATGACTTCACGAGTTTTGCTTACAACACACCTGTTGATACAACCTAGAATCATATTTGCTTTTTTTGCAACAGCATCACACTGTTGACTCATATTCAACTTGTAGTCCACTATGACCCCTTTTAGTTATGCTTATAAAATAATAAAGTGCTTAGAGAATGATAAAGTCTTAAAAAAGGGGGATTCTTCATTATATTCTAGTGGGTGAAGAACTCAGTCATATCTTATATAATTTTCCATTACTAATTAAGGTATTTCATGGATGCATAAGTTTTTGGGAATCCTATGTCTCTTGCTTTGCTGGTCGTGATCCTAAGACATGAGAAAATACCTCTTGATGAGACCACTGGAGATTGTGAAGGCAGAAAACGTATTTTAATTTTGTGCGGATACATGTTTATAAAGTCAGTACCATTTACACAAATCTGTCTATAATACTGTATGTGTGTGCTTTTTGTAGGTTGTATGTGCACCCTGATTCTCCTTTTACCGGGGAACAATTATTAAAGCAGATGGTGTCCTTTGAAAAAGTGAAACTAACAAACAATGAACTGGATCAACATGGGCATGTGAGTAGCCTATTCTGTGGTAAGGTGTTTAAAAAAAAAAAAAAGACAACACAAATTAGCTGACTTAGTCTATTACTGTGTGACATTAATTGGCAGACTTCTCCGCACTCTGATCCCAATGCCAAATGTGCAAATGGGCTTTGAGACTGATCAACCCTTCCACCTTCTCAGGCGGTCCCTTCATGTTGGTGGCAGTGTAATGGCAGAGGCTTATGAGAGAGTGCGTTTTCTTATGAGAGAGTGCGTTTTCTTTGGTTTGTCCTCTTTTTAGACTAACAGGTGACTTCATTCTTGTCAATTCAGCACTTTTCAGCAGTGTCACATTTACCTTTTGGGGGAAATGTGTGGTATTACCCCTTGCAGTCTAAAGCCAGAGACAGCTTTTAAAAAAGAACTATGTTTAGATTCCATGATTGAGCATTTGTATATCGATGTATTAATAGGATGGATGGGGGTAATGCCCAGATCATCTTAGTGTTCTGAGCTCACTTCCACAGCTATCAAAAGGGACAGAATCCAGATCTAAATGAGGGGAAGAGAAAAGGGCCACACATGGCTTTTTCCTAATCTATTTCCATCTCTGTTTTGCTTTTGACTTACTTGTACGCTTTGCCATGCCCCTCTGGATAGTGAACTGGTCCATGGTCCGTGGTGTGGGTTGGGTTGACGGTGCGGTTTGGGTTGATATGTGTTTTAGTAGTTACATTCCTGGATTGTTGTGGAGTCAAAACAAAAATGTCATCAATATAATGGTCTTCTGTTGATAAGCGTTTTAGTAGTTAAATTCCTGGAATGTCATTGCTCATTAAAAGTGCTGTAATATGAGTGGAAATCGGGTAAATATTGCATTTTATTAATATCAGCGGAAATGACTTAAATGGGGCCTGCATGTTGTGGAGTCTTGCCTTAATCTTTCTATTCATGCCCATCAGTGGGAAAGAGGCTATTTTTATTTATATTTTCATGCATATGCAACCACATTTTAAGTTGCTGCCCTTGGCATGTGCTGTGAGTATCATTGTGGCCCCTGGCGCTTCCAAAGTTGAGTAGCCCTGTCTTAGCAACTACCCAGTTCTTTGTCATGTATGCTGACAAATCCCACTCTGCTGAATTTGTTGTCAGTACGCTAAGCAATCTGGTTCAAGAAGGACATATCTGTTACATGCAGACCCCAAGTGGACTGGGCTAGATGTCAGTACTGTAGTCCTGACACACCAGTAAGGGTTAATCCACCACCGCAACAAAGGATATAAAACTAAAAAGACAAAATTGCTCCAAAGTAAATGTTGTTGGACATAGACACACTCCACCTTTCCATAAATTAAACACAGGGAGTCCCAAGCTGAATGTGGGACTTTATGGGGGTGAAATCCCAGCTCTGACCTGTGCTAAGTTTCCCCCCTAAGTTAAGGGACTTGGAAAAGTGAAAGCTTGTGGCTCAAAGCAAGTGGCTGGGAGCCCAGCCTGGTGAGGGAGGATAAGCAGTGGCTCTGTGCTGGGGAGCCTTTCCACGGGAAGGCTTAAGACTTTGTGATTGTCTAACTTGGTGGGAAGTAATCCTGAGGGAACCCAAATGTGAAGCGTAGGCTCAGGGTGGGAGTTTCTTGACCGAGAATTAAACTAGAGGGCTGCGTCTAGACTGGCAAGTTTTTCCGCAAAAGCAGAAAAACTTGCCAGCTGTCTACACTGGCCGCTTGAATTTCCACAAGAACACTGACGATCTCATGTAAGATTGTCAGTGTTCTTGTGGAAATGCTATGCTGCTCCCGTTCGGGCAAAAGCCCTCTTGCAGAGGGCCAGTGTAGACAAGGCAAAAACTTTTCTGTTAAAAGCATTTGCGGAAAATCATGCCAGTCTAGACGTAGCCTATAAGTTCGTGTTAATAAGTGAAACCTCAGGAAGGGAGAGCTTTACATGTTAAAACATGGAGGAAGGAGACATGTGAGATACTGAGTAAGAAAACTGAGGCACGGGGATACTAGACATTGGAGACCCCCCCCCCTTACTGCTTTTTCAGAGGGTTTGATAAGGCAAGTTGTTGTCTGAATTGCCTAGTAGGAATATTTCCAATAGGAATGAGAGTTTTATCCATTTAAGGACTGCAGGGATGGGAAATACCTGCTGAAAACAACAAAGAAAAGCATATATATGCCAACATGCTGTTCTTTTCTAAAGAACTCTGGATACATTTTTCTTAGAATAGAAGCATGGTTTTTGTTTTATTTTTTCGCTCTTCTTCCAAAAGCCGATATTTTGGTTTGTTTTTCCATTGACTTCAATGAGCATAGGATCATACCCTAAGATCTTGATCCTGCAATGAGATCTACATGGCTGAATGATGTGCATACATCCAGTGCTGACCTCAGTGAGGCTGCAGGTGGGTAAAGGAATGCCCATGTGTAGAATTCATTGTATGAGTGAGGCATTTATTTTTTTAACTCAGCTAAGACATTTATACACACGCATGCAAGCAGATTTACCCGCGTTGTTCGGGTGTATAATTCAAGAAATGGTTGGCTGGGTTTTACTGGGAACTAAAGGAGGAGCGGCGTGGCAAGGGGGAAGGAGAGCATCCTTAGGCCCCAAGAACTACCGTGTGTGCATGGGGAAGGGTAGGGAATCCCCAGGCTCCAGATGAGTTGGCATGGGGGAAGAGGGGATGTGAAGGGAATCCCTATGTTCCAGGTGAAGTGGCAGAGAGGGGCCAGGGCAAGGAGAAGGAGAGGGAATCTCTAGGCCCTGTAGGAGTTTCACAACAGGGGATGGGGTGGAGTGGTGGAATCTCAACATGCTCATGTGGAGTGGCGGGGGAGGGAGAGGGTGTAGGCCCCCAGAGGCAGTGTGTGTGTGTGTGTGGGAAATCCCCAGGCTCCAAAGCAAGGTTGAGGATAATGCCCAGGCCATGTAGCTGTGTGGGGGGGAGGAGGGAGAACCTTACTTATAGAAGGTAGCCTGGCTGTCAAAATGCAGAGCCCCATCTCCAGCCAGTCAGTCTCCTGCTGGTGTGACTGTCCCCAGTGCTCACTCTGAAGTATCCCAGCCCCACTTGCTGCCCCAGGGGTGAGTGTGAAGATCGTGTCCCTCCTTTCTCTGCCCTTTCGTTTCCATGTTGGGGGGAAAAAGCCCCATGTTCCTGTCACACCCAAACCCTGACCTTGCTTTAAGTTAGGGTAAGAGGAAGCTGCCTACTAAATTTGGTGACCCTAGCTGTTCCTGTTTGGGAGGAGTTTTTGAACAAACAGACAAACAAAGAGACATTTCATTTCTAAACTCTCTATATAATCTGACAATCTACGTGCTGTAGCAAATACATTTTTGTAAATACAAGGCTGTTATTTTAAAAAAAATCAGTTTCCTGAGCTAATGCTGCAAATGATCACTTTATAGTGAAACCTACTTCTGTGAATGCCGGACAAGGAGACAATCCTGCACAAGGCATACTCACTGATGTAGCAAATAGTTAGGTATAATAGCTATGAGAGCTGTTAATATCATCCCCTTGTGAAAGACTTTGAAACAGATGGCCCTTTGAGTTATGGCAATGATATTTCTGAGTTCTACTACAGCGAGTTAAGCTGGTTTGTTTTGTTTTTTTTTAGAGACTTTTAAGGCCTTCTGCAAAGGCCTCTTTGAATTTAGAAAGCTTCTTTTCTCTGGTTGATTCTCTTATTTGGCCTGTTAAAATGTTCATTGTGCTTGATAGGCTATGTTGGCTCATGAGGAAGTTTTAGTGTATGTCTACACAGCACCGTTATTTTGGAATAACTGATGTTATTTCGAAATAACTTAGTTTGCGTCTATACAGCAGGCAGTTATTTCAAAATCATGTCGAAATACTGTCACGTTGGAGGACTTTTTTTCCAACTCCTATAACCCTCATTGTACGAGGAGTAAGGAAATCAGAGGAAGAATGCTCTATTTTGAAATAAGTGCTGTGTAGACGCTCCCAATTTTGAAAGAAGCTATTTCGAAATAAGCTATGCAATTGACATAGCTTAATTTGCGTAGCTTATTTTGAGTAAAGCTGTGTAGACGCACCTCTAGTGGCCATAACACATCTATTTTAGTTTTTTAGATATAAAAGTTGGCACTGTGCTAATCCCTGTTTGTTATGGTCACTTGTCCTGTCCATCCTCTGAAAGACACTTTTGGTTGCTAAAGAATGTGAAGTATTGGGGTGCTCTGTTTATAGAAGGCTTCTTTTTCTGAAACCGAATCCATCTGAAGTGAAGAGGTGGACTTCTTTTATAAGTAGAATTTGTTTTTCTTCTCTTAGTCTGTGACTTTTTGACTTGTATCCTTAGTATGCAACGTGATGGCACTATTTGTATTTGGTCTCTGCACTGGGCAGTAGTTATCATTGTATGCATGACACAACATTTCTTGCAAGGAAACACACAGTAAAACTCTGCATTTGTATGGATGTCTCTGGATTACTTTTTAGAGACAAGTGAGTAAGATAGAAATAATATATTGAACACTCTTGCCTCTCTATTTATGGAATGTTTTTGAATGATTTTTCTCAAATTTATTTTAAAAAGTTGATAATATTTTTGACAGATTTCATATACTTTATGTCTTGTTACTTATGCTTCTTCACTGTTTTTGGTTACATATATCACATGGTTTCTGTTTCTTAATTAGATCAGCTCTGTGTATAACTCTTGCATGGCATTTGTGCTAGAGAAACTTGATTGCATGCCTATTCACAGAAAATGTACACCCAGGGTGTCAGCATGGTTTAAGAATAATCATCATTACAGCTGAGATGTTTCAAAGTAGCCTATGGGAGTTAGATACTAACTCTCTTCAATGGATTCTCATAGGCTACTTTGAAAATGTCAACCTTAAAATGTGAATAAATATCAGTGGAAATTTATTTGCAATATTCACAGAGCTCTGATATCAAATGAACTTTGCCACTGTTCATCTACATGAGTTGACTTGTCTCTGGCATGCACAGAGTAACACACAGGTGAACCTAAGATATAAACAGTTGAGTGGTGGGAGCGTGCCCATGTTGGAGGATCAGTAAATGACTCTAGACACAAAGAAGGAGTGTGTGATTAAATACATTTGAGAACTACTGACTTATACTGTCCTTCACATCATTTTTGAATTGGGTGCAGACTACAGTGTTTCTTCAGGACTGATACACTTTATGAAACAGGTTGGATCTGAGACATTTTATATTCAAGCAGAAGAGCGAGGGGCATTGAAGTGTAGAAACTGGAAGGCTAAGACACACACTTGGTAGTGGACAAAGATGACAAAAGAGCAGGGAGGTGAGAAACTTTGGAGCAGCATAGAGGATGGAAGGAGAAGTTGAAGAAGGGCAGAGAACTATATGAGGTGACGTATTGTGTAGTATCTTGAAGATTAGAGCAAGGAGCTTGAAATCAATGCAGGGACAGAGTGCAAGCCAGTGAAGTCAGTCATAAAAAATACTACACTGTGCACTAAAACAATGTCACATTCTTGTGATGATTGTAATGTACAGTACTGCATTCTTCTCTCTATCGTAATGTGTGACCCCACTGAAATCAGAGTACAAGTCAGAGCAGAATTTGGCCCAGTGGGAGGAGAAAAATGTACAACAGGAATCTCCTGACATAACAAAGCTGATGCAAGAGCACTGCTGTAATGCAATTTGTAACCTGCATTATTTTCAGAATTATCAAGAAAGACTGCATTTCTTATGTTGATTTTCAATTTACCTCTTGTCTTTGAATGTAGACTATTCCAGATGATGTATGGAATTTCCTGTGACCTCCTTGCAGCCCTGTAGAAGGAATTACCCAACCCAGGGCTAGCTTAGTCCCAAAACTGTGACTATATCCAGAACAAGATAGGGCACAAATCTAACGCTTTCATTTTTATATTCTTAAATTGTGATTTGAGCTGGGCAAATAGAACTTAGTCCAATGCCAGCTAAAATGAATGGGTGTCTTTCCAATGACTTCAGTGGGCATTGAAGTCAGTTAGTTGGAGGATTAAACAAGAATGGTCACAAGCAAATACTAATGAAAAAAATGGCAGAATTGCAACAAACATTTCTGTTAATCAGTCAAATTTGAGTAGAAAGGACAAACTGTTTTAAAAGCCATATTTGCACAATAAGGACCTAAGTTTTGTTTTTTCAAAGGGGCCACTGGATGGCATCATCATTTTGTGTGCACACAACTTTGCAGTTGCCCACTCCCGCGCACACATTTTCAAGCACTCAAACCTGCACAGGCAAATAATAAGGTCAAACACCCTCGCACATAAGTGGTGGAATTTGCCTGTGTCAAACCTAGCTCCTGAGCTGGTTGGGCTAAATGTGGTAGGCTTTGTGTGTGCTCAGGAATTTTTTGAATGCTTGGGGTGGGGGAGGGCATTTTTTAGAAAATGTACAGTCGACCTGATTATCAGAAGTGAGCACCCATTGAAGTCAAAGGAAGCAGAGGTATTCAGGACCTCTGACATTCAGCCTTCTATATATCTACGTTTCTGCTGCCATGGTGTAGCCCTGTAACTTTAATGTGCACTTGCTTCTTACAGTCACATTTTGCTACTACTTTGAAATGTTTTGTTCAGTTTGCCTTAATCTTAAACTCAGCACAACCTTTTGCAACTCTTTGCTTCAGATAATTTTGAACTCCATGCACAAGTACCAGCCCAGGGTGCACATCATTAAGAAGAAAGACCACACTGCCTCTTTGCTAAACCTGAAATCTGAAGAGTTCAGGACATTTATCTTTCCAGAGACGGTTTTTACAGCAGTTACTGCCTACCAGAATCAGTTGGTGAGTGTGATGCTAGATCATTCTTAGAACTCTTATTAACTTGTCCAAAATTCTGTGTGCTAATAAATTTTCCCTATTTAATCTAGCATAGAACTCTCTCCGACATAAGAGAGTTCTTTTTTCTTTTCTTTGGGCCTGATCCTTCTCATTTTCCATTCAAGAGTAAATCTGCATATATATGTTTAGTCTTAATAACACCAGTGGGTTCACAGAACAATAGCAACTCATAGAACAAAAAGGATTATTCAGGAGTAAAGATTACAGAAATAAACCCTTTAGTTATCGGTCTGTCTATCTATCTGTTCTATCTATTTGTTCTTTCTATCTATCTGTCTGTTCTTTCCTGAAAAAATGAGGAGTACAGGATCTTTCGAAACGAGACATTTCTGTCAAAAATGCCCCGTCTAAACTGCTGGTTTTTTCCAAAAAGCCCCATTTTGAAAAAAAGCGGCGGCCGCCATTATGCAAATGAAGCATGGGATATTTAAATCCCAGCTTCATTTGCACTTTCGATATGTCTAATTTACATCCCTCTGCCAATAGAGAGGTGTAGTTTAGATGTAGCGTCTCTGCATAATGCTCATTATTGCTTAGTATTTACAAATTAATCCTTTCAGTTCACCTTGAGGCTGTTCCAACTTCCAGTGATCCTATGTCTCAGAACTATTGGCTGAGCCATATACTGGCTTGGATATATTGACTGCCAATTGACTAATTAAAATACAAGGGTAAAATGTAAGGGGAAACAAACCAGAAATATTCCTTTCTCATGTTGGCTAGATATACCAAACTATATATACTAGATATATCAAACTGGTATGCCAGTGAATAACATTCCCAGTATGGACTAAGATCATAACAATGAAGCCTGCTTTTAACATTGGATTTAATAAGTAACCGTAGGAATTTTGTAAACCATTCACTTCAGCTGGCATTGGACTACGTTCTATTTGCCAAGCTCTAATCATAATTGAATGTTATGATCACAGACTTAGTGTAATCTGTCCAAAATTTTCAACATTTCCTAAGAGAAAACAAAACTTCCAGATGCAGTAAAGGGAATAAAACTACTGTGTGTTGTATATAATAAGCCATGAGGAGTCCTGTGGCACTTAAAAACTAACAGATATATGTGGACAATTTATGTGGGACTCCATGCATCTGATGAAGTGGATTTTACCCACAAAAGCTTATGCGCACATAAATCTGTTAGTCTTTGGTGTTTTTGCAGATACAGACTAACACGGCTACCCTTCTGAGAATAAGCAATATAAATAAATATTGCTACTGTATGAACTGAGCAATTAATCTGCCTTAGGCACATCTTTATCTCATATTCATAGAGTTTAAGGCCAAAAAGGATCATTAGCTCATGTAGCCTGTTAAAAATTCTTTTTTCTAAGGATGTGACTTGATCTTACAGTTATGACATGCACTAAATCTAGCTTAATATCTGCTCTGCAGCTCAAAATTATTTCCATTTCAACTCAGGTTTATAACTGAATGTAAAAGAAAATTAGCCATGTGGCAATCTTGATAGTACACCAGCAAGACAATTTGTTGAGAAAAGAAAGGTCAGTTGACTTTCTGTAGAAATAAGCAAAATTTTTAAAAAGTCAATATAAAACTGGAATTTACTTCTGTCGAATAGATTTGTGCTTCTTGCTGACATTTAGATCATGGCCATTTCCAAACAAAACTTCCCAAAATATGTATAATGAATACTGCAAAATTTCTCAATGGTACATCTCTGGAACCCCTAGAGACTGATCCTGTCATTCTGTCGATGACTAATGAAAATGGATTTTTTTTTTCATTTCTGCCATTTCTTTCCATGCTGTTTTAAAGGGGATTGATTACATTTCTTCAGGTTATTAGATAAAAGCTAAATACATTACACTTTCAACAAACTATCTCATGTTTTAAGATTTAAAGGGCACACATTTGTTTAACAGTCAAACCACTGCTACAGAGTTGAATTGTAGGTCAAATTTCAATTTTAAATGCTTTCTAGCAGATGTTCTTCTGATTGTTTGTGAAATAGTCTCTGAGAATAAATGGTATTTCTATGTAAGAACCTAAATGGTTAAGAGTTTTATGCAGAGTAGGTAGCTTGGACACGTTTCACTCAGAATGTCATACAGAGCCATTAGTGTTAGAGAAATGTCCATTTGATTGGCACAAAAATAGGTTTAAATAGGTTTCCCTCATGATTCATAGATTCCAAGGTCAGAAGGGACTTCTGTGATGATCACTTTGCACTTCTGTATAACATGAGACATAGAACTTCTCCAAAACAATTCTTTTAGTATGTTTTTTTAGAAAAACAACCAATTTTGATTTAAACATTTTTAGTGATGGAGAATTCATTGCAATCTGTAGGAAGTTGTTCCAATTGTGGACTTACCACAATGTGTCAATGTCAGAATTAGTGTTTGGAAAGGGGACTTTTCCCAAGTCAGGATGAAAAATGAGCTTCATTTAGGTTAATTGAAACATTTTGTTTTGATTTTGATCTTTATAAAACAATGTAACTGACATCCTGAAATTTCAAAACAAAAAATAGCTTTGAACCAAATTATGAAGCTTTTTGTATCAGAAATGTCAGAACAAGACACACTGGCTACGTCTAGACTACATCCCTTTTTTCGTAAAAGGGATGTAAATTAGACGTATCACAATTGCTAATGAAGCAGGGATTTAAATCTTCCCTGCTTCATTAGCATAAAAATGGCTGCCGTTTTTTTTCCGCACGGAGCTTTGTCAGAAAAAAGCACCAGTCTAGATGCTGATCTTGCGGAAAATAAAGCCTTTTCCAAAAGATCCCTTATCCCTGTATGATCCCCGCTTCATTAGCAATTGCGATACATCTAATTTACATCCCTTTTACGAAAAAGGGATGTAGTCTAGACGTAGCCACTGACAAATTTGAACATTATTGCAAACCTGATTTGAATTGGAAGATTTGTTGAGATCAGCCCTTTTCTATGTACAGTTTTGAAAAAATCATTCTTTTCCAAAGAAAAAATAGTTTAATCAGAAAATTCCCAATCACTTCTAGTTACTATAATTTATTTGTATTGTGGGGAATGCCTAACAGCCCCAACTGAGAATGGGGTCCCCCTTATGCTTGAATAACTCCTCCCAACACATTGTAACCCCTTATCCCCATAAACATCCCCAAAAACTTGGACTCTAATTAGTCAAAACAGAGAGTCAGAGAAGAAACAGCAGCACAGAGATGTGAAAAGACTTGTCCAAGGTCATGCCGCAGGTCAGTGACAGAGGATGAAATCCAGACTAGTATGAGGTCAATGGGAGTTGACTGGTGACTCTACTAGACTCGGCTGCCTATATATTTGCCTATATGTTTGTAGTTCCTACTTCCCAGACTTTTAGTCAGACCACTAGGCCACACCTTTCACTGGTATAATGCAGATAGCAACTTGAGAAAAACATCAGTCCTCCTTTGCTTCTTCTAGTTTCCCAAAGCCAGTCCTTCCCCTCCTTTGACTTCCTGCCCAGAAGCGTGGTCTCTCAGAATGGAGAATCTGATTTGGCTGTAATCGTCTCTGGTTTTGGATGAGTCACCCAGCCCTAAAATATCCTTGCTCTGTGAAAGCATGTGAACTGGAAATGCTTGTTTTAATTTCTGAAATTTCAAGGCCCATTTTTGTAAGCAGAGTGGTGACCAATATATCACAGGCCTCTGATGATGGAAGCCAGGATGAAATTGAAGATGATACTTCAGTGGTGCTAACCTTTGTTGACTCTCACTGGCTGCAGCAGGAACTGATGGAACATTGGAGATTCCCAGGATCAAGCTACAAATCCTTACTTCCAGCAGCCTTTTAATTCCTTCAGAGCAAAGTAGATTAAGCAAATCTGAATTTGGTTACATTTTCCCACATATTAAGCACTGAATCTGCTTATTGAAAGCCAAAGCTCAGGTTCGATCTGTTTTATCATAAGACCAATTGAAACCATCAATTGCAAATTTGGGTAGATGGGCACACAGAATTATTTACAGTGACCTGTCAGACAGTATGACAGTGGGGGACAAAATTTACTGGCCAGTAAAACTGAAATGAACCACATGAAGGCAAATCCATCCCTTTTGTGAGCCAAAGCAACTCTAATGGTTTCTCAGGATGATTGCACTTTTTCCTTTAAAGTCTTGAAGAGCCGAGGATATCTTGACCAAAAGAGCATCTTTCTTTATCTTGCTCCTACCCTTGTCCCACTCCAACACCCATATTTTACATCTACTATATATTTGAGAGAGTTTGTCCATCTATCTGTCTGTTTGTGTACCTCTCCTTCCATCTGTGAATCCATTTGTTCAAGAACTCCTCCTAAATGGTAGGACTAGGACCACCAAAACAAATGAAGCCCGGGATATTTAAATCCTGGGCTTCATTTGCAACTTCGAATGCCTACATTAGCCACCCTAGTTCGAACTAGGGTGGCAGTGTTGACATACCCTCACTGTTTAAGCCAGTAGCTGAATTTGAAGAAAGGGAGAAAGTTTTGGTTGTAAGAGGTCCAATTTCTTAAAACTACAAGGCTGTGTCTAGACTGGCAAGTTTTTCCGGAAAATCAGCAGCTTTTCTGGAAAAACTTGCCAGCTCTCTACACTGGCCATTTGAATTTCTGCAAAAGCACTGACTATCTCATGTAAAATCATCAGTGCTTTTCCGGAAAAACTATGCTTCTCCCGTTTGGGCAAAAGTCTTTTCCCAAAAGATTTTTGCCCAAAAGGGCCAGTGTAGACAGCATAGTACTGTTTTCTGCAAAAAAGCCCCGATCGCGAAAATGGCGATTGGGGC